ACTCCAGTTTTCAAGTAGTGGCTTCAGGAAACTTCAGCCTTCAGAAGTCAGACTCCTACTCATCTGATCTTATTTCCACACCTGGAACCAATAAGGCCTAAGCTTTAATCTCCTTTGTGTTTCTGTTGTTTCTGGTCAACAGAGATGCTTATCTTGTATTTAAGCATAGTTATGTTTTATGAACTTTTTCAAATTACCTGCCTTTCTTAGTACATCATCAAATTTTATCCATTCTACTTCTAAACTGTCCATGGAGATGAAGCTGTTCATTAGGTTGGTTAATGGCACTGCTACTGCTCTGGTTCAAGCCTTAAGCATCTCTTCATGGATTATCACAGTAACCTCCTAACTGGTTTAGCTGTTTCTAGGCTTTCACATCTTAAATCATTGTCTTCACTGTATATTGCCAGTTATCATTACAAAATGTAAGGATGATTTTATCACTCCTCTGTTCAAAAGTCTTAACCAGCTCCTGTTATATTTAGAATAAAGTTCATAGTTGTAAGAACCAAGTAGTATTAAGGCCATAGGCTCTGGAATCCAATCACATGTGTTCTGAACCTTGTTCCGGCACAGGTTCTGGGTTAGAAAAACTTAGATTTGCATCCTAGTTTTTCCATTTACTGCATGACCCAGGGCAAAGTCCTTATCCTTCTAGAAGATCATTGTAGAACTTACTTCACAGAGTTGTGAGAGCTCTGTATTGTAATACATGGAAAGAGCTTGCAAAAACTGATCAATAAATATTAGCTGCTATAATTATGTAAGATAATATTCAATGTTCTTAAGATTCTGGCCCTTTATATCACTTTGCTCAGGCTGCCATAACAAAATACCAGAGATTGGGTGCCTTAAACAATAGAAAATTTTTTCAAACTTCTGGAGGCTGCAAGTACAAGAAGATCAAGGTGCCATCAAGGTTGGTTAATGGCAAGGTCTCTCTTCCTGGCTTATAGACAATTGCCTTCTTGCAGTGTCCTCACATGGTCTTTTATCTGTGTGCACGTGGAGTGAGAGAGATCTCTGGTGTCTCTTCCCCTTCTTATTAGGACACTAGTTCTATTCTATTAGAGCCCCATCTTTATGACCTCATTTAACCTTAATTACCTCTTCAAAGGCCCTAACTCCAAATACAGTCATACTGGGGGTTAGGGCATCAACATATGGATTCAGAGGGGATGAATTCAGTCTACGGCACCTCTTTAACCTGACGTTCCTGACTCATCTCTCTCTGATGACACAAATGCCAGGATCCTGCCACAATAGTATTTCATACCTAAAATGCGTATTCTCCTTTTCTTCTCTAGTCAAAATTCTATCCAGTTTAAACGTCTCTGAAGTTTTTCTAGTTCAAATGCAGAAATAACTCATTTTCCATCTTTGCTCCTATAGTTCTTGGTTCAAACCATTAATATGGTAACATAAGAATAGTATTTTTCAATGTGAATATTTCTTTGACATAAAATCTTCTCTGTTAAATCCAATAGTGTAACTATTAATAAGCTTATTTTATTAAAGTGACAACTGAGCCTCAAAGAGTTTGTTTATTCATTTTATTGAAATTGAGAACATTGAAAAATGTGCTGCTTTGTAGATGATGGTACCATTCACTGACTATGAAACATTGATAGAGGAGCAAGTTTTATAGGAAAAAATGTTTTATTTGACACATATTGAGTTCCAGGTGCCTATAACACATCCAAGTGTCCCAGTATTATATACTAGTTTAATATAGCCAGTCTTGTATTAACATGCACATTGGGATTTGATCTTCTCATTTCATAATGTTGGTGCAAGTAAGTGATAAGTGGCAAATAACCTCTTTTATTCTATGTGTTAGTGAAGAATAATGCTAAGTTATTTGTTTCTAAATACTTGCTCAGCATTCTTTTTCTTCCCACTCTTCTAAACAGCCAATTTTTTAAATCATAGACACAGACAGAAATGGAAGTGAATGAGACAGATTATCTAAATTTAGTCCTCTTAATTTATAGATGAGGAAAGCACAGTATAGCTAGTTAAATGACTCATCCAAGGTCACAATTAGTACCCAAATAAGAGTTAACATTCAGATTTTCTAATTCCAATCAAAAGTCTATTCCATTATACCAGTGATTACCAAATGGTATTCTGCAGAACAAAAACTATGTGAGAAGCTCAGTGAACAAAATGATTCAAAGGTGTCTTTTAACCCTGAATACAATCTCCTCTCCTGGAAAGTTGCAGTGATCAAGTTGTTTAACTTACCCCAGCATTTAATGATAGGACCCCTTTCCACCATGTATTAATGCTAGTAGGAAATGCTTTGGGAAATGATGCACCTATGCTCTACTTGAGTATGACAATGGTGGGTTTCAAAGGAACTTAGTATGCTTGGTAGGAAAATTATTCTTCTGAGATGAGGTTAGGATGATGCAAAGGGAAGAGTTTCATTTGTTTGATAGATTTATGCTGTTTTGCAAGACAAAGGGCACATAATGAAATAGTTTTATTAATAAATGAGTATGAGATTGTTCTAGTAACCCGCCTAGAACTTACTAATCTTATGGTAGGGTGGGTTTTTGGAAGATTTGGTTTCTCCTAGGTAAGTGGTGGTGTGAGCACACTAAATTAGGAGTTGAAGGTGTCCAATTAGAGAATGTGTTCTTTTCATGGTAGCTATTAGGAACCAGCTAATGAGGCAGTTGTGCTTTTATTCAACAGGGAAATTTTGGGAAAGACAGGAAAATAAACACAGAGTTAGGGTTTGATAATGAGTAATTCTGTTGCTGTGAAGTAGTAAAGATGGCTAAAGAGAATTAATCATGACGGAAATCTTAGCCCCGTTTTATGGAAGTGCCCTGATTTGAATTCGAGAGAAAGAGAAGTATTTCTCATAAAACTTACATATGAACAGGAAGTTTCTGATTTTTCAGACTAAAGGTTATTCATGCAACCTACATATATCTTAATGATACATATCAGTTTAATCAAAACCATAGATGGTCCTAAGAAAAAACATAATATGCTAAAATATGGACCAATAAAAAAACTTCAAAGAAAATTAACATAATTTTCAAGTCATTCTAATAAAAGAGAAAGGCATTATTGTCCTTACCAGATACAGATGCAACAAACTTGACTGCTTCCAATATTTATTATTTTTATATAATTACTGAATAAGAAAATTTTAAATGAATATTAATTTGCATTTCTATTATAGTTTAAGCAAGTTCACAATTTAAATGTTATAACTCACGAATAATTAAGCAACATAAATAATTTAACATTTATCAAATATTCCTTGCTAAAGATATGTACTGCTAATCAAAAAATTTTAAACATTGCAAACAAAGAATAAAACCTAAAGGTGGAAAGGACATACATATCAATGTCTACCCAAGATTTTGCCAGCTTTACCATAGCTGGAAACTAAGAAAAATCACAGATCAAGAAATATTCCATTTATAAGAATACATTTTGAAAGTACAGCTTTTTCTCTATATCTATAGATAATCAAATCTATAACTATTATCTGTATATTAATGGAAACAAAACAAATGTGAAGTGGTATTATATACACTATGCCATTAATATTTCCACATGTTAATGGAATGAAAACAAATGTGGCAAACACCTCTGAACTTAGAGGTCTGCCACTTACAGGCTCTATCAACATACACCCTTCTGTGACTTTCAGAAAGTGAAACAATTATGTGAATTGTAAATCACCATGCAAATATCAGATATTTAATTGGACCAGTCAATACCACTTCCCCTGGTCCCTCACTTGCTGAAAGATACTCAATTCTTAAGTTCCAGTATAGGTAAGTTTCATTCCTTCAATTAATACTTATTGAGATCCAGCAACGTTCAAGGCTCCATAATAGGTACTATGAATAACACAGGTCCTTGGTTTCCATAAATTTATATCCCAGAAAAAGAGTAAATAATCCTTGGCAAATACAACGATGACAATTGTCATAAGCAAGTTACAGATAAGGTGCTATGAAATTTCAGAAGCTAAAATTTTTACTTTAGATTATAACGACAGGACGAAGTTTTGTTACAACGTGGCATTTATACTATGCCTTGAAGAATGGGTAAGATTTGGTTTGCAAAAATAGGGTAAAGGGTATTTTAAAGAGAATAAAAATTAGGAAGAAGGCCATGGATATGTTCAGGTACTTTGAACAATTCCTCTTACCTACAACAAAGGTTGCTGAAATTGGAAATAAAGGATAAATTAGTAAAACCATCTTACTTGCAACCTAGAAGGAACCTACCAGATTTTGCCCTTTTTTTTCTATTCAAAGGTCACCCCATATAAGTTCTCTTCTTTTTAAGCTACACAAATAGAAGTTTCGCACCAACTAAATTTAACCAAAAGCTTGTCAGTGATTAAAACCTGGACATTAGTCCAGGTGTTGCCTCCACACTTTCTATAGTCTCAAAAATTGGAGATGAAAATGCTCTAGCATTTACAAATAGGCTGCTTTGAATCTCTTTTCCTATAAATAGCTTTGTTATTCTGCATTACCTGGAAGAGACATTTCTCATGCACGTTAAGCCACACTTTTCACTTGTGTTTTTAATGTCGGTTCAACTTCATACGATTTATGGAGGTCCAGAGGCTGATAGCCTTCAATTTATGGGAGGCTCTACAAAGACATGGATGTTTCCTCACTCGGACTCAACCATCGTCTTGTAGGGTAGCATAATCAATATTATACATTTTAACGAACGGGCTATGTTCTAGGCCCTGGGGCTTGGGCCTCAGAGCCTCCAGCTAAGACGAGAGCAGCTCGCAGAGGGAAGTGTTCCAGGATGGTGGGAACATGCCAACGCCCACGAGACACGGGGCGCCCGCTAACATCGAAGCGACCACCCTACGAAAGGGCCAGGCACCGAGATCCCAGAGGGTACCGGCCTCCACAGCGGTCCGCAGCTATTCCCGCCCCCCACTTCCACTTCCGGGGACGTGACTCCCAGGCCCTCCGGGGGTGGGGGCGGTAGCGAAAGAGGAGCCGGAAGTAGCCAGGCACTTCCGGTACGGGAAACTCTTTGCTGCCGCTCGGCCCGGCTTGACAGGCGCGGTGCCTGCGAGCAGCCCTGTCTCCTTTCGCCTTCCCCGAGTCTACCATTCAAACTCCTTTGCCGCTGCCGTCCCGCATCTCGTGTCTCCGAAACCGCCCCTTCCCCATGTTCCGGGGCAGGAGTCGTGAAAGCGAAGACCCGCCCGCCGGTACCCCATCATGTCCGAACTGACTAAAGAGCTGATGGAGCTGGTGTGGGGCACCAAGAGCAGCCCCGGGCTCTCTGACACCATCTTCTGCCGCTGGACGCAAGGTACCCTGACTGGGCTCTCCCTTCCAGCCGCCGCTCCCTTTGCCCTGCGAGAGTGTAGCTGTGACTCCTCTCGCGCCAGCCCCTTCTCGTGCCATGCACTCTGTCCCCATTCCCGTGCCCAGCTCTGAAACTGGTCTAGAAACGCCCTGCCTTCCCTCGGGGGAGAGGTTGAGCAGGAGAAGGGTTATAGCTGTCCTCTAAAGACCCGAAACGCCTCTCCCACTCCCTGGGCTGCCCTTCGGCTGGAGAGGAGAAGGGGTGGTGGTTGGGCCGCAGTGTGTGACATGATGGTGTGCCCTGTGGCCCGGTGTCAATTTCTCAAGAAGTGCTGGGGCCGCCTGGATCTTGACCCCCTAACAAGGCTTCATGTTACTGGTGTTTGGTCTAATTTCGCAGAGAGGGAAGTCCACAGGAGAGTCCAAGCGGCCAATTCCAGAAAGCAATTTTGTTGTTTGTATTTTAATTATGTGGCTGGGCGTGGTCTTCGGTGCATAAATACAACGTTGCCTGCTGTAAAGTGTTCTCTTGACGCGAAGTCTTCCTTGTTTTGAGACGGTTTAATATCTGTTTCAGTTGGAAGGAAGACTGCCGGTCTAATTACTCAGACAGGGTTTTGAGTTATATAAGAAGTTTTATTAATAGTATGAATAACAATGAAATAAAAATTTCCATTTATTAAATTCCTGCGCTGGACACGTTATATTAGTAATTATCCTAGTTCTGAAGTTTTAATATTAAAACACAACAGACACATTACTTAAGGTGACTTAAGAAAGACTATGGTGAAGTTAAGTGAGGTTAAGAGCATAGTCTTTGAAGTCAGAAGGATTGGTAATGTATGTATGTGAAATATCACAGTCCAGTAAATAATAGCTATTTATTACTATTTATTAAAACTTTTATTTAGAGAATCCCTATTCTCAAAGGATTTAGGAGCATTTTAGGTAGTAAACCTAAGTCATGATGTGTATTTTGTAACAAAAAATCAGGGTTTAAGTAATCTCTTTTCCCTCCCAGATATGTCTTTTTTAAGAGCTGGTAAAATTAGAAGCATAATGTGTTACAGTCAGATTATTTAGTCCATCACTTTTGTTTTGCAGATGAGTCGTGAAGGCTAAATGACCAGGTGACATTTGCACAAATTGTTAGAACTGGGAGTGAATTGGAAGTCTCCCAGTTCCTAATACAGCTGTTTTCATTCATTTCCTTTGAGTTTCTAAACCCTACGTGTAATTAGTTTGGCTCTTTTTACACATTTAATTATGTCACTTTAATACTTTCTGGAATCTTGGACCCTCACATTTGCAGATTTTATTTTAAAACTTGCTTTCCACTTTGACTTATTTATCCTAATAGTGAACAGCCCTAAAGTACATGAGACAGTGAAGGACTAAGAAAAATTTTACTTCCTGTGTAATTAGTCAGCATTAATTGAGCATTTACAGCATTAAATAAGGTAATAGTCAGCCTCATTTATATTAGTACTGTGATGCCGATTCAAGGAGAATTTAGAGAGGCAGTTCCAGTAATGGTTAAAAGCAGGCTTTGGAATAGTCATATTTGGGTTCTAGGTTCAAGATATTTAACTTATTTAAGCCTCAGTTTCTTTCTCTGTAAAATGCAGATAATAGTGGTGTCAACCTTATAGGGTTGTTGTGAGGATTAAAGGCATGTAAATACATTCAGGCACTTAGCACAATATCTGACATATAATAAATGCTCAGAAGATGGTAGCTGGAGTTAAGCGTTTAATTGAAGACTAAGCCAAAGATCACTCTGACTGTGCCCTGACAATTACAAGAAATTGTTGTTTATTTGATGGTTAGTCATTATTTAAAATAGAACTTTATAATAACATATTAGAATCCTCTGCCATCTTTTAGTTATACAGAAATTCCTTCAGTATTTGTTCAATCAATACGATTTCAAAATAAAGGATTTCTTTCTCTTTTTTTTTTGCTTTTCAGAGAGTGCAGTTATCTTGGGGATATGTAATTCTTCAAGAATTACATTGATCAAGATTTTAAGGCAACTAAATGTGTATTTTTAAGTTACCACCTCTGAATCAGAGGGATGTCGTTACTGGTTTTGCTGTGTTAACTTGTATGATTTATTCATTTTTAGAGGCAGAAATCATTGCTAAAGATTGCTGTGGCAGTCATTTGGGATTATGGGAGTGGGCACAAGACACTGCTTTGCTGTACTTGCCTTACTGCATTTGTAATGTGACATCAACTTTGGCTTTATCTCATAGTCTATAACTGTGCTTTTAATTGACAACTGTCATCTCATTAGTCTTTTGGAAGCAAGTTTTAGGTGTAAGTTGTTTGGGATAAATATTTATAAAATTATGTCCAGGGATATTCCATTTATGAAACTATATTCATTGATCGTGTTAAATTCTTTGGATATGTTAAAGCAATAAGCTGCAGGAGTTGCTGCAGCACATAGTTGGGGTTTTTTTTCTCTTTTAATTGATTTGGCAGTTTTAGATAATATGTTAAAGCAGTTAGCTGCAGGAGTGGCACTTTTTTTTTTTAATTCATTTGGCAGTTTTAGATAATTCTCTTCTGCAAGTCTCTTTTCTTTAAAAAAAAAAAAGTAGGGTTTTTTTTTTTGTGGTCATCTTCTTTTGCGTGCCAGTTTTTATTTTAAAGGCAATAGGTCACATAATTTAAAGGTTTGAAGTTGTTGGTATTTTGAATGTGGAAATTTACCCTCTACTCCTGCCTGCTTCCTCCCTGATCTATTGCCTGTAACACTTTTTAAAGAAAATCATGTATTTTCTATCTCCTTAGTCATAAGCACCATTTATCCTACCTTCCCTTCTTCCCACAAACTCCAACAGTGTTCCAGGCCTCTGCAGCTCAGAGTGGGAGGGAAGGCAAATAATAAACATAATCTAGCATAAATGAAGTATATATAATAGTTAGAAGGTAAAGGAATAGGGAATTATGGGATGGGGTAGCCTGGATAGGCCTCATTTTAAGATGAGATTTGAGCAAACACTTAGTAACTGAGTTAGTCATGTAGATATCTGAAGAAAGACTGTTCTAGGCAGAGAGAGTGGCCATTATAAAAGACTTAATGCCCTATTTGCCTGGCTTTTTATAAGGAACAGGAAGAAGATTAGTTTGACTAGAGAAAGAATGAGGGGAGGGGAGAGTATTAAAAGATGATATAAGAATAATATAAGGCTTTCAAAAGGCCATTGTAAGGACTTTGGCTTTTATTCTGAATGAAATGTGAAGTCATTGGAAGCTTTGGCGCAAAGGAGAGACACGACAAGACGAGTTTTTACAGGATTAATCTGACTGTTATGTTTGAGGATAAAATGGATTGAGTGAGACAGCAAGATCAAATGAGAGACGTTGCACTAATCCAGGGGGGGGAAAGGTGGTGGCGTGGACCAGGATAGTAGTAGTGAAATGGTAGGAAGTGGTTGGATTGTCCATATCCCAGCAGAACCAAAATAAAAGTCACCTAGATCTAACAGAAGTGAGTATTAATCTTGTAATAAATGGAAACGTTTTGACCTGTAGGGAATGTGGTTTTGATTGTCTAGCTCAGTGTTTGGCAGACTTTTTCTGTAGAGGGCCTGTGGCCTCTATTATCTCTGTCTCTGCCGTTGGAGCAAAAGCAGCCCTAGGTAATATGGGTGTGGTTCTGTTCCAAAACTGCATTTACAAAACAGGCCAACCCCTGATCCAAATTATAAACTCTGAGAAACCATTTTTTCCTTTTTTCTCACCTTCCTCCAAGCTTTAAGTTATTTTATTGTTTTACCTAGAGATTAGCCAGAAAGAGAGAAATCCAGTTTTGCTGTTTATTGCAGTTCAATGTGTTTTTGGGGAAGTGGAGCTGTAATTGATTGAAACTGGCATTTTGGACTTTCAGTATAGAACAATTTTTGTTGTGTAATATGAAAAAAATGAGGTTTAACAAATAACTTAGGAAAGTGAGGGATCAGTTAAAATATAAATATAAAATGTATTTAGGAGTTAATACATTTGGATTAAAGCTCAAAAGTATATTTAGATGTTTATTATAATGTGATTTAACATTTTACCAAAGTAATAAAATGATACACCAGTATCATTAATTTTTCTTCCAAAGTGAGGATAAATTAACACTGTGGATCATATCATTTCAGAGATTGTTGTTGTTGTTGGAAACCTTGTATTTCTCTCAAATATAGATTTTTCTTTCTCCAAGCTAAGTCATAATTCACCTAAAATTCCATTTTTTTAAACTCAAAAATTTGTAAGCTTATGTGACAATATAATTTCTTGGTACTTTGAATACATAATATGGTTTTAAGTTCAAAGTATCTATCATAATATCTTATATTTGTATTATGCTTTATAGTTTCTGAAAGTCTTATTTAATCCTTACAACAACCATGAGAATAGCAAAGGATAAATGTAGTTATCCTCGTTTTTATAGATGAGGAAACTAAGGCTCAGTTTGGATTTTACTTAACCAATATCGTCTAACTTGTAAGGATAAACCAAGTCTTTTTGTGGCCTTTTGTTCACATGGGAGACTAGAGTGGAAGAGGCAGTAGTTGTGAAACTGGTTTGAATAATGTATATATGCATAGTAAGTCGTGTGAAAGACTGGAAAATTACAGAGGTTCGTGGCTCAGGTTGAAATTAGTTATGAGCTATAAAGCTGAGAAAAACCTCTATGCTTGTGGTACTGTAGAAGCTGATAGAAAAATTGTACATTTAGGATCAGATGCTTTAGATGGCTAATTTTGGATCTAATCAGGATTTAAAAAACAGCCATTTTATGATGTTAATTCTTTTTAAAACTAGGAAATAATTTGAATATGAGAACATTGGACAAGAAAAATAACTTTATGTCCTAAAAAGTCCAAACTCCAGTGAAACCTTATTATAAAAGGAGAAGCTTACTTAGCATACTCTTGTTTTAGGATAGAATACTTAATTTCCATTTATCTGACTTTATTTCATTTTAAGCTCTAGTAGCCTTGT